AAAATATATTTGTCAATTCTTTCACAGGTAAACAAAAAGCACTCTTAAGGTYATACATGTCTAGCCTCCTCCACAGCCAACTCTATAACTCTTATTCTTTCAATTTACGAGCAGTTGGGATTCCTTTGGTGAGACTTTCACAGAGAGAGTATGAGATATGCCTGCGGCGGAGGCTTATACATGTCATTGGTATACCCCTATTGTATCCTATTGTACCAGTTGGTTTTATATCAACAAATCACAACACAAATTGAAATCGATATTTTCTCTTTATTACATGATTTCAAGAGCGGGATGAGAAGTGGTATTGAGGAAGCTACTTCGCAGGTCGATAACTCTGAGCAGCCGTGATTGGCTGAGTAACCTGGAGATTAGGAATGCTCCCAAAGTCCTGCAAGATAAACCCAAAAAAAAACTATTTAGGAAAAACAAACAAAAATTACCTAAGAGAGTAATAAAGCTAAATGTAGAAGTACATGTACATTCTGTATGCGGCATTTAATGCAAAAATTCTGTCAAATATACTAATATATTATAAAGTGATTTGCAAAATACTAGCATTTTGAAAACTATATTTTTTATTAATGTTAATCCCAATAGGCATCTATAGAGAATGCCAGCAAAAATATTTTACAATGTATACTCCAAAGAGGGTTTTGGCCATTTTTTCATTTAATGATTTCAAATTCCTATTGAAATGCCTGAATGCCTCAGTTAACAAATAAGCGATTTGCATTATGGTGTCATTAACTACAACTACTAGAATGCTTTGCCTACTTTCTTTTGTAATGCAATTAGTGCCAATTGTTTTACTAATCTCTAAAGGGATTAAAAATCTGAATAACAATGAAAATGTGCAAGGCTCTCTGGTAGTTGTAGTTAAGTTATGCCATCATGCAAATGGCCTATTGTTCAGACTTTGAGATCCGTCCAGTCCATAATATTGAAACAGTAGAGTATATTCGCAAGCAACATACCAATATTTTCAACATCTCCTTGGTGTCAGGATCAACTTCAATAAGTTCGGTGTCCAAGGCTGAAACCTATAAAAATACACGTATATAAGGAGATAATACAAACTAGCAATTTGTAGCTTTATATCTTTGTTTTAATAAATGCTCTAGCATTGAAGCACACAAAATAATGTTACTAAAAAGAAAACAGACTTTCTTCTCTCTCGGTCTTCTCATCATATCTCAACGGAGAAGAACTGGTGTCAAGAGATTATTGGCCATTTCGACCTTGTGCAGGGGACTGGGCACTAATCAAACAAATATTGATCTATTCACGAAACAAACCGCACCAGATGAAAGGGCACCCAAAAATTAGTCGTATATACCAAGTTTCAAAACGTTTGGATAAAAACTAGCTGAACAGTATTTATTCCTAGTTTCATCAAATTAACAGAGAATGTATTGTTTTGGGGGACGCGGTCAAAATCCCCATACATTCTCTGTAAATTGCACGGCTTCTCATTAATTGAATATTTGTCCAAATGATCTGTAACTTGGAACCTACACTAAAGTAGATAAAGTCTTTTTAGTGATATGGTTAGTTTTTCGATTGGCTCAATATGACAGAAATTACAATTCATTTCATAACATAATCAAGCTGCCAATGGCAACGTAACTCGGAGATTGTAAGAGCTGCTTTTGCAAGATGGTCAGCTGTATTTTGAGCATTTTATTAACACATTAGATAAGTTATTTACAAAAACATGTAAATAGGTGATCATAAAAAATCAGAACAATAAGATCAGAACAATATTGGGAAAAAT